GAGAAACGAGAAACACGTATGAACCATATAAATAGACGACAACTACTGTAATCAGATTCCTAACATATGACAGGTGCAAACATTTGCAGCGGGATTAAACATTTAAATGGTACCAAACCTTCTCCCTTTTCTGAAACAATAGTATAACATCACAACATAGAAAAACACACTATAAAATATCAATTGGAAGGCTTAACTCAATCAAAAAACGTAAATAAACACACAATTAACGAATAAATTTGACCTGTGACACCTGAATGCAAATACACAGTTAATAAAAAATTACAAGGGATAAATAATTAAAGTCAAAAGTAAATAAACAGGTTTAAACAAAGTTGAAATATGATATCACTGTGAAATGTCAAATAATTTTTAGAAGTATATTTCATCCCGCATTACACATTCGTTGTATTTGTTAAATAGATATAAGAAGATGTGGTATGAGTGCCAATGAGAAAACTCTCCATCCAAGTCACAATTTGTAAAAGTAAACCAATATAGGTCAAAGTACGGCCTTCAACACGGAGCCTTGGCTCACACCGAACAGCCAGCTATAAAGGGTCCCAAAATGACTAGTTTAAAACCATTTAAACAGGAAAACCAACGGTTTTATCTATATAAAAAACGAGAAACACTTATGAACCACATCAACAAACGACAACCACTGAACATCTGGCTCCTGACTTAAGACAGGTGCAAACAAATGCAGCGGGTTTAAACGGTTTAATACATGTAGGCGCCAACCTTCACCCTACCTGAAACAATAGTGTAACACACAGAGGTCACAAAGATCACACAGAGTAAATAGTAGTTTGATGTATTGAGCCTCTCGCAAAACAAATGTTGATTGACCCATAAGCATTGTTTTTCCATCAATAACAATATCCAGTTGAATTGAATAATTTCAACAGCCGGTAAGAAGTACTTGAACGTCATCAATGGCAATATCACTTTTGTAACCTGTTCCACGGACTGCTTCAAAAGATATATGTAATAGAGAAGAAAAATAAGTATAACAAAAATACCAAACTCCGAGGCAAATTCAAAAATAGGGGAAGTCCATAAAAACTGACAACATCGAAAAGATGCGTGTTTCTTTCCTACTCATTCGTTACCCAAGGATTCTTGATTCTTTTTTACCTATACTGTCTAGGTAAAACTAACACGTGTTTAATCTGTATGAAAGGACGGGAAGTGTAAAAAATGAAAACAATACTTTATAAATTTCATGCATCCAAAGTGCTTTTCTGGATTTACCTGCATTAGGAACGCTCATATATGCACATACATTTTAAGGTAAAACAGACTATCTTATTTTTAAAACGCGTTAACTCCCGGTTTTTTGGGGAGTTTTGGTTGTTCTTTATGATGCTTTATTGAATGTTATTTATCAATTCACATGGCTGTTTTTTATTATAGTGTTGTCTATTGTCCTTCAGACTTTTGCTTTTTTATTGTTTCTGTGTTTCTTCTCCTTTATTTTGATATGACGAAGCTAGCAAAAAAGGTAAAATAACAATCACATCATGTGATATTCTCTTATTTATTTAACTTTATTTTGAATCTAATCAATTTGGGAAAAGATCAAGATTGTATTATTTGAAAGGTATCGGACTCGTGTTACTTATTACAATGTTGTGCAAAAGAAATATATTAAATTATCTCAAATCATTGTAACAATCATAGACATTGTTTTTAATTCGTAGAATTGGTTTGTGTACTTACAGAGACTTAAATATTGCTTCCCCAGTCTGTTGTTCAGAAAATGCGTATATTATATTTTGACACAACTTGGACAATAAAAGACTGAAGGCTAGTCGTATTGTACGATTTCTTCTTACCTTAGAGCTACTAAAATTATTAGGTTGCATGCTAATTTCGGCAGGCCGCCATAGATTTCCTTGATTTCCTGATTTCCTCCAAATTTGTATGCTTCCTTGATATACCTTTAAAGTACCCATTTTAGAACCATACATGTGGTAATGAAACTTTAGACATCCAGAAGATTCTGCAAATATGTACCATTCGTATAATAACAAGTCTTTTAGTTACTATGTAAAGATTTTAAATTTTGGTAGCCGATATGTCTAGAAAGTGTACTTATTCAGATTAGTATTACCGCGAGCCCGATATTGCTTGAAGGCGTATGGAATGTTTTGTGAAATGTGTTCTCATTTGATCAATGGCTTTGTAATAAAGTTAAGTCTGTTTCACTTTTCATTTTTTCACCAGAAACTTTTACATACCAAATATATTTGCACTTCATATATGAATTTTCTACTTTTCAAAGAAAAACTAAAAAAACTTAATTTAAATATTGAAATAAAAAGATCTGGTGTGATTGCTATCAAGACAAATCTTCACCAGAGTCCAAGTGACGTACAAGTTAACAGTAAGAGGTCACCGTACGGCTTCAACAATGAGCAAAATTCATACCGCATAGAACGCTATAAAAGGCCCACAAATGACAAATGTAAAACAATTCAAAAGAGAAGACTAGCGTCCTGATTTATGTACAAAACAATAAACGAAAAACGAATATGATATACAGCAACTACAGACAACCACAGGCTCCTGACTTGGGAAAGGCACATACAGAATCGGATGAGGTTAAACCTGTTTGCAGGCGCTAAGCCTTTCCTTAACCTAGGACAGTGGTGTAACAGTACAACATAAGAACAAAAGTTAAAAATCAGTTGAAAATGGCTCACCTCATCAGATCGATGCAAATCACAAATAAACTAAGAAAAATCTTCCAAACTAACTGTTTGTATCAATGAAAGAATTTTAGTAAAGGTTTTAAGTAATTTTTAGTGACGAAATCCTTGACCTAATACTTAACCAATAATACATAGATTACGTTTATTGAAATCCAAACGTCACTACACTCATCGTCATACCGAGCGAGCTGGGATTTATAAATAACGTACGATGGTGCCAAAGGAACACACCGTCCAAAAAGGGAAAATTAACAAAACGGAACGACAAATCGTCCCTTTTGTCGTAAATTTTTGTGTAGAGTTTCCCGTGTAAAACTGAAATATCTTAATCTAGGAAAGGCCATTTATTTATTGTTGTAGTTTATATTTGATTTATTTAAATTAAGATCCTTTCGGAGTGATGATTATACTTTGAACATAAAAGTTAGACCATTTCTCAATGTTGATTGAAACCATATGTTTTACGGCAAAATGCCTATCTGTTTGAGAGTAACAAATACATATAGAGTTTAAATAAGTTTACCAAAAAAGAAGTCCCGTGATAACAATCTTGCAGCAGATCCGTGAGCTACAGATGATGTCTCGAAATATAAGTAGTAATCCCTTTTGTATGCTGAAGACGAACCAGTCGCTGTACTAGGTGTTGATGTCTGCATAACGGAATACACGTATACATTAACCACTATGAATAATATTAAACATTAACCAAAAAGCACAATAAGCGTGGAATTCTGTATAACAAATTTCCATATTTATTGCGTTTTATAAAACGAGATAGATATAAAAAAAACACTCAAAAAACGAGTGTACTAATAGATACTTCAGTCAGGGAGAACTTTTTTTATTAGTTGTACATTGTAATTGGCTTGGAACTAGCTTCCAGTAACTGCGAGTACTCTTATTTCGGTGATACGTGTCCAATTTTTTATGTTAGCTGATTTTTGTGTCTCGTACCATTTTTTCGATTTCAACCAACTGTAAACATTTTTAATGTTTGTTCTTATATATGCTGTGCTGTTAAACCACTGTCCCAGGTTAGGGGAGGACATACCACTCACAAACATGATTTACCCCGGCCACATTCTGTATGTGCCTGTCCGAAGTCAGTAGCCTGTAGCTCAGTGGTTGTCAGTTCATGTCTCATCTCTTTTTTTGTAAATTTGGTTTGTTTTTAATTTGACCGTTAGTATTTATCGTTTGTTTCACGTCTTTAATGTCTTGGACTTTTATAGCTGTCTATACGGTATGGGTTTTTCTCATTGTCGAAGGCCGTGCGGTGGCCTATAATTGCTATCATCCACTTCATTTGAACTCTAGTGGATAGTTTTCTCACTGTCAATCATACCACATCTCTCATTTAGCTATAATAAATTGGCGCAATACTAAAACGTTTCTTTTGCATGTGTGAATAGATTTTTTTATTTTTTGGCAATTTCACAAGACCATGTTCCTGTACTGTTTTTGGCGTAGCTAAATGATTGAAATATTTGTTAATTAATGGCAGATCTTTGATTGTTTCTACTACATTTATCCCAACTTTGAGATACTCGGTACGATTTAGAGCATGAATAAAAATAGACTGGTTAAAGATTACATGTTCCATTCTGGATGTCTTTTTGTTGTTTTGTCATTCGGCTGCTGTCCATTTGATGTATTGCCCATATCTTGTTTAATTCGTATTTACTACCGAATGTACTGTCCAGTTGTGTTCGTCATTGCGATCCTGAATAAACATGGAGCCCATGTTGTTCTCAAAGTCAGCTTCATAAACTTGAAATATTGTAAATTATGCATTTCAATAAATATTTTACTGTTTTGTATGTTTTTGTTTTTCTTTGATTTTCCTGTTTTCTTGTTTGTATTTAAACATTAATCAAACACACCAAGCTTATAACATGGTACGTATATATGTGCTATGTACTTGATGGTAACAGTTGCTGAAGATTGAAAATACAGAAGTGACTATTTTATCGAGGCTCATATGGGTGTTGAGATATGCTTTTGCTGTGTACTTGTTTAAAAATGAGTTTCATTTCTACTTTTATGATTTGATTTTGTTTCAAATGCATTGTAGGTTCTACTACGACATTCCGTTGACCACAATATTCATCCATCCAATTTTCAAATTTGGAAATTTTAAGTGTATCTATAGAGAGTAGATAGTTATTGTATTTGGCGCAGTGAAGTTCTGAGGAACATGTTTATTGCAATGTCCCGATTGGGATTGGTGGAAGATTAAACGAAAGAAATGTAAACAACATATTTGCAGTGAAAAATAAATCAGAACCAGTATAATGCATACAGAATAAAAGAGATAATACTTATCAAATCTTTGTCAATGCATTGAAATAAAGAAAATAACAGACGGCTATTCAAACAAATTTTGAAATATAATACAAATAACATTACCAAACTATGAGTTATCTACAATGTACGAAGTCACCTTGACACAAACAAAATTAAATAGGCCTTTCATTGTTGCATATCAAGGACAAGTTTTTGGAATAAATGATCTCATAAATCACAACATGAAAATAGATAACCTATACATTGATGTATGTGGCTATGTTTTGATTAAGGTGACCGAGAGTTTTTTTTTTAATTTACGATACTCTGAAAAGGGATATAATGTATATTTCATCTTGCATTCCATATTCGTTGTATTTTCTAAACGTCACACAGAGTAAATAGTATTTGCTGTATTGAGCCTCTCGCAAAACAACTGTTGATTGACGACCCATAAGGAATATAGTCCAATCAATAACAATATCCAGATGAATTGAAAAATTTCAACAGCCCGATAGAAGTACTTGAACGTCATCAATGGCAATATCACTTCTGTAACCTGTACCACGGACTGCTTCAAACGATATCTGTAATAGAGAAGAATAGATGGATCGCGTATTTCTTTCCTGCTCATTCATTACCCAGGGATTCTTGATTCGTGTTTTTGTTTTACTTTGAATATTTATGTTGAACTAACACGTGATTAATCTGTATGAAAGAGAGGACGGGAACTGTAAAAAATAAAACTGTATATACAATACTTTATGAATTTCATGTTTCCGAAGCGCTTTTCTGGATTTACCTTCACGAGAAATGCTCTTGTTTGCACATACATTTTAAAGTAAAACAGAATAAATTATTTTTAAAGTAAAGCCCGTCGGATGCTACTAGTGAAACAGGAACACCTTACTATTCTGAATCTACTACGGTAACTCCCGGTTTTTTTTATGGTGTTTGTGTTGCTCAATTAAGATTTTCTATATCTTGCTTTATTAAGTGTTATTTGTCAATTCGCCGGGTTTTTTTTATCATAATATTCTCTATTTTCCATCCGACTACTGCTTTTATATTCTTCCTATTTTAATATGATGAAACATGCAAAAAAAGGTGTAAAATGGAAATCTAACACAGACACAAAACACATCACGTGATATCTGTTTTTCATTTTTTTTTATAACTTTTTTTTGAATTGTCGAAAGGATATAAACTCCAGTGTCAAAGGTCGGTATTATGAACATAGTCTATTGATAACGGAAATATTTCTGGAAACAATTTTTACCAAACATGCTAGATGAAACATATTGATAAATGAGTATTTTCATATATATTTGTTTATTTCATGGTTGAAAATGATATACTGTAAAAGCAGAAATTTTCGTGGAAGATTTAATTTCATTTATTTCGTGGAAAGAATATATCCACGGAATTAAAACCCCAACGAAAATTTAACCTACATATAATATCACTTCCATTTACTGGAAACCACTAAATTAAATCCCCTATAAATTTGTATATAGAGACAAAACAACGAAATTTTAACCCCACGAAAAATAATGTTTCTACAGTAATATGATTTAATTTAGATGTAACTTACTAATGTCGAATATAATGATGCTGATCAGAGAGTAAATCTTGATTTGTGGTAAAAAAATACAGTGACCTTTCACTAGAATGTTGAACTAGTGAAGTAATTTGTTAACAACAGTAGTGCAATATGTTGTTGAATAATGAAAAAAAAAACCTCTATTTTGAATCCAATCAATTTGGGAAAAGATCAAGATTGTATTTTTTATAAGGTATCGGACTCTTGTTACTATTTACAATGTTAAGCAAATAAAAATAAAATTATCTTAAATCATTGTTACAATCATAGACATTGTTTTAATTCATAGACTTATAGAATTTTGGTTTGTGTACTTACAGGTCCGAGTACACAGTTATTTCGTAGTGCATTTCTTTTAGACAATAAATGAAAATTAAAAAAATCCCACCTGCGCTTTCTCAATAATATTTTTACAGTGTGTTGCACTACTTTTGGGACAAATTATATCAAAATTATAGAAAACTTCATCGGCTCTAACTCAAAATATGGACAATTTCATGCTAAGGGGGTCTTCAAATCTTTTGACAGCTTCCGATGTGCTAATTTTTAACATTTTTCAGCTGGACCAAATCACTACTTTACTTTAAAATTCATGACCCAAATTTGTTTACAGTGTCATTTCACCCCCCTACTTACTATTTGAGTCATAAAACATGGAGAAATAAATTCGGAAGGGGTATAAAAAAAATCGACAAGTAACACACTGTCCACACTAGGGACTATATTCGTGGACAACGAAAATCAAAGAACGATAACTGTGTACCCGGACCTAATAGGGTAGAAAAAGTTGACCAATCTTAATGAAACTTGGTATGACTAAAGCTTATTAAATTATAAGACTGCTTACAAAGATTCATGGCAATAGGATATATATATTATAGACAATATGACTAATTCTATATTGAACTTTGAGTGTTAAATTTAGACGTTAAAATTGAAAATTTTCAACTATCAACATTTGGGGCTTAAAAAATTAAAATATTGCAAAAAAATACTTTTGAAATGCCTTAATATATAATATATTATGTATTAAAAGCAATAGAGTACTCATTTGATTTATCAGACTTATCATAATTATTAAAAAGTCAAATTTATATGAGCCTGTGGCTAAAAATGGAGGTTTTCCAATGAAGGGGGGCCTTACATGAAGATGTAATATTTTCCAGCAATTTTAAATTTGTAAAGCTTTTTGGTTATAAATAATCCTTACATATGTATTTAATGTACTTTAAATGGAAAGAAAACTTACAAATAACATATCACATTAGTTTAAAAGTGTCTTAGGCCAAGTAAGACTGAAAATAATTTAGGGTCAATTTAGGCCGTATCACATATTTACATTTAAAAATGCATATTGAAGCTATATGAAATAAAATTTTGTGTCTTTTCTATCATTTCTATACTCAGGTGACATGATACAATAAATCTGAGCACAAAAAGACTCTTGCATTCAACTTTTTTTGCAGACAGTATGGTCTGATAAAAAGATTTTTCACTTTTTAGTGAAAAACATGCATGCAATTTTAGTCTCAACAGGCTTATATTTGAACCACTTGCTATCCTACAGAAGAAAAGAAAGATATTATGTGACATAAAACCGGTACAAAAGACATTGTTAAGTGCTTTTTATACAAATTTAGTGAGGTCTTTATAATGGACTTCAACTTTTATGTTCCAAGCTCCTCACATTTAACTTGATACAAACAGGGCGTTAGACGAGGATCATATATACAACACATTTTGCGCATATTGTCTGAGATAATCTTCTTTTCTGTAGATTCAGAGTTCACAAATGAGTAATACAACTGGATTGAAGCATAGAAACACAAATATTGACACATAAAAACCTGTCAGATAGAAAGTCAGAATGCCACTTATGCATCAAAATTGAAAAAGCTATGAAATGCTTATTTTGACCATAAAATGCCAAAATTGGTCATTTTTGCAGAAATTCTATCAAATAAAAGTTTAAATCCTTTAGTTTTATGCTATTTGATAAATTGACACCATCAAATCACTCAGGGAAGTTGCCAAAGTACAGATTCTATATTTCCTGATTTCACCTAATAGGGTAGAAAAAGTTGACCAATCTTAATGAAACTTGGTATGACTAAAGCTTATTAAATTATAAGACTGCTTACAAAGATTCATGGCAATAGGATATATATTATAGACAATATGACTAATTCTATATTGAACTTTGAGTGTTAAATTTAGACGTTAAAATTGAAAATTTTCAACTATCAACATTTGGGGCTTAAAAAATTAAAATATTGCAAAAAAATACTTTTGAAATGCCTTAATATATAATATATTATGTATTAAAAGCAATGGAGTACTCATTTGATTTATCAGACTTATCATAATTATTAAAAAGTCAAATTTATATGAGCCTGTGGCTAAAAATGGAGGTTTTCCAATGAAGGGGGGCCTTACATGAAGATGTAATATTTTCCAGCAATTTTAAATTTGTAAAGCTTTTTGGTTATAAATAATCCTTACATATGTATTTAATGTACTTTAAATGGAAAGAAAACTTACAAATAACATATCACATTAGTTTAAAAGTGTCTTAGGCCAAGTAAGACTGAAAATAATTTAGGGTCAATTTAGGCCGTATCACATATTTACATTTAAAAATGCATATTGAAGCTATATGAAATAAAATTTTGTGTCTTTTCTATCATTTCTATACTCAGGTGACATGATACAATAAATCTGAGCACAAAAAGACTCTTGCATTCAACTTTTTTTGCAGACAGTATGGTCTGATAAAAAGATTTTTCACTTTTTAGTGAAAAACATGCATGCAATTTTAGTCTCAACAGGCTTATATTTGAACCACTTGCTATCCTACAGAAGAAAAGAAAGATATTATGTGACATAAAACCGGTACAAAAGACATTGTTAAGTGCTTTTTATACAAATTTAGTGAGGTCTTTATAATGGACTTCAACTTTTATGTTCCAAGCTCCTCACATTTAAATTGATACAAACAGGGCGTTAGACGAGGATCATATATACAACACATTTTGCGCATATTGTCTGAGATAATCTTCTTTTCTGTAGATTCAGAGTTCACAAATGAGTAATACAACTGGATTGAAGCATAGAAACACAAATATTGACACATAAAAACCTGTCAGATAGAAAGTCAGAATGCCACTTATGCATCAAAATTGAAAAAGCTATGAAATGCTTATTTTGACCATAAAATGCCAAAATTGGTCATTTTTGCAGAAATTCTATCAAATAAAAGTTTAAATCCTTTAGTTTTATGCTATTTGATAAATTGACACCATCAAATCACTCAGGGAAGTTGCCAAAGTACAGATTCTATATTTCCTGATTTCACCTCTTAGGTCCGAGTACACAGTTATTTCGTAGTGCATTTCTTTTAGACAATAAATGAAAATTAAAAAAATCCCACCTGCGCTTTCTCAATAATATTTTTACAGTGTGTTGTACTACTTTTGGGACAAATTATATCAAAATTATAGAAAACTTCATCGGCTCTAACTCAAAATATGGACAATTTCATGCTAAGGGGGTCTTCAAATCTTTTGACAGCTTCCGATGTGCTAATTTTTAACATTTTTCAGCTGGACCAAATCACTACTTTACTTTAAAATTCATGACCCAAATTTGTTTACAGTGTCATTTCACCCCCCTACTTACTATTTGAGTCATAAAACATGGAGAAATAAATTCGGAAGGGGTATAAAAAAAATCGACAAGTAACACACTGTCCACACTAGGGACTATATTCGTGGACAACGAAAATCAAAGAACGATAACTGTGTACCCGGACCTAATAGGGTAGAAAAAGTTGACCAATCTTAATGAAACTTGGTATGACTAAAGCTTATTAAATTATAAGACTGCTTACAAAGATTCATGGCAATAGGATATATATATTATAGACAATATGACTAATTCTATATTGAACTTTGAGTGTTAAATTTAGACGTTAAAATTGAAAAT